GAAATTTTACAAACGAAACAAGTCATCATTGGACGCTGCGAGGAACTTTTGAACGCAAGAAAACCTGAAATTTATAAACCACCACATGTACATTACATGGTAGAAAATATAACAACAATTTTAGACCGAGTTGTTGCAAGTGAAACAGACCCCTCATTGTCTGTAGTTTATTGTGAGAAAGAGACCAAAGAAAAGACACAGACAAAACTTACAATTGCAACCAGAGACTCCGAGGAAATACAATGTTATAACGGAGATGATCACATCAAAGTCGACATTGAATCTCCAACAGGAAGTAAATCGACCACAGAAATTGCAGACAGCAAAGATGGCAAGTACACAGTGATGTACACGCCAAAATGTGTTGGACAATATAGAGTGGGGATTGAGATTAATGGTCAGCCGTTGACTGGTAGTCCCTGGAGTGTTCTGGTTGTCCCACATCAATATCAATTTATGTTTAAATTTGGTTCCCATGGCAATGGACCAGGACAGTTTGATGAGCCTTCAGATATTGCCGTCAGTGAAAAAACTGGAACCATTGCCGTGGCAGATAATGAAAGAATTCAATTGTTTAGCTCGGATGGAAGTTATCTGAGGAAGATAAAACTGAAGAATGACTGTTCTGCATTAGACTTTACCAAGTCTGGTGACATCATCGCCCTTGTCCCTGACGATGATAATAAGATTTCTCGGTTCACTGAAAGTGGTCAGTTTATCAAACACATCAACGATGAACACCTAAAGATACCGGTTCACGTGTCTGTTGGATTTGATGGCCGCATAATCGCATGTGACTGAATAAACAATGAAATCAGGGTCATCTCCCCTGATGGGATGCAGCTGCTACAATCCTTTCGTGCCTCAGACTGTGACGAGTCCCTGCTTTGTGCTGTTAATCACCAGGACAGATTCTTTGTTTCTGATCATGACGCCAATTACATTAAGGTGTTGAGCAAGGAAGGAAAGTTCCTTTACAATATTGGCAGTGAGGGGTCTGGTGCCGAACAGTTAGATGATCCTATTGGACTCGCAATCGACAAGTTCAATAATCTAATAGTCTGTGATCAAGGGAACAGCAGACTGCAAATTTTCGGACTGGACGGAAAGCTTATCACCAAGTTAGAGAAACATTTCGTAACGGACTTTGGGAATCTACATTATGTCTCCGTGTCTAACAATGGAATAGTTTTTGTGACCGATTCTGATAAACTGTGTTTATGTTTTTCGGTAGAACTGTGACAGTGAGTAAAGCATTTCCTATTGAGTATATTTTAATCAAGGAAATCTTATTTCTTGTGTAATTAATTTACAACAACCATTGAAAATGAATCCATGTTACCATAATTAAAGACAGAATTCAAGTTGCAGGATGAATTGCGCCGGTATACCAGAGATCATGATCTCTGGATGATCTCCTTTGGATTATAAAGTTATAATTTGTGGAGATGATGTCATTTATAGCGCGTTCATGACATTTTTTCGTGATATATCGTATCATTAATTGTTGGCAAATTGAACGTGAACTTAACTTTAATTTTATTTTGTTCACCTACATACAGTTACAATTGCTCGCTCCCGCTACTAGTCCACAACTAATCGAGGTGGGGACAATTGTTTACATTAAAAAGGACAGAAAGAAAACAAGTAATGATAATTTACAACAAAATTACAAAAGGTACAAATTAACAATAGCAAACCCTACAGGTGACCGAAAACAAAGTAATAGTGTAAATTATGAATTCGTAGTTCTGTGTGCATAAGTGGTGTTTTTGTAATGATTTATTAAAGCGTTATACGAGAGATACTCAACTCATTTGGTTTATTTACAGGAATAAACTCTGGTGAGGGGATATATGGATATCCGAAGGTATACCAGAAGGGTGCATTTTCAGATCGTTTACGAAAGGTTTTCGTTGTAAAGGAGGTTTAATGTGTAGATTTCTCTTGACCGGAACATAAACAGACCAATCTAGCAAATGTCGAGTCAAAACCAAATAAGCTATTTTCTTCAGTTAACCTTTCCTAGCAAGCGTAGGTAACCATGGTCTTAATAATAAGCCAGGGGAGTAGTCATAACAAGTGCTCTCAACTGGAACACTCGTAGTCACGAGAAGATTTTATAAAGAGATCAACCATCAGATCTCGACGTAATGAAAAAAATTTTCTGGTGTGAAATTTTTTTGATGAGACAGTTATGTTTCATTTGCATGAGGTGATTTGAGATTCATTTTCAGCTGAATGTTCCAACGGCAACAACTGAAATAAAGGCTTACCGAGAATAAAAGTTGAGTACCGTGTAATATTCCACTTGTTACTTGTATTGTCTTGGTGACTCGTGTGATATTTCATTGTATGCAACTTGATAGCGTTGCATAACTATACTACATGTAGTTATCATGTACTTTTTAATTCTATTTTTATTCAGCCCCGCATGGCTAAGAAATGCAAGCGCAATTTTCAATTTTAAAAATATTTCTGACAAAATTCATTCAAGTCCACATTCAGCCCAATAATACAAACTAAACAAGATATGAGTGGCAAGAAGTCAATTCTATCAAGTTACAGTAGTGTGGCACAGCCACGGTGACGGCCGGGTCACCAGCGACAAAATAGTCTCTTTTATCAGAATCAAAACAATTTCTTCTTGTTATTCGCATGAACTTACATTTGTAAATAAAATTGTTCCAATAAGCAATAAGCGTTTTTCGCCCAAGGTTGTATGACTATTGTTTAACACAAGCCTGGCTAAGGACATGATCACGATACCGTGACACATTTGGATCCAAATTGAAATAAAGATTGCATAAAGATTTACAATGCTATTAATATCCAGAAGTGACGTCACATGAACAAACACTCAAACGCACCCATTAAATTATTGATCAGCAAAGTGCACCTGCGAAGGTGGGAAGTAACCTTAAGTGGCCACCTATTAAACGGCCACCCCTATTAGGCGGCCAGTAATCAAAGTCCCGATGAGGCTTTTTTTTTATTGTTTTTACCTCTGTTAAGCGGCCAGCCTCTTTTGAGCGGCCACTATCCATTTCCCCGAGGGTGGCCGTTTAATAGGTGTTGAACTTTATAATTTTTTAATTGAAAATTGCACATGCAATTCTTAGTTATGAGGGACCGAACGGAAACAAGACTGGAAGATATCATGGCTGGAAGGAATTGTCTGCAAAAACTGCTCCGTCCGTGGTAAAGATGCTTAAGATGAGAGATATTTAAGCATGAGATCTTATCATAGGACAGAACACAGCTCGACTTACTCGTTTTCTCACACTCGGGAAAAAAATACGTGTCTTTTACAAGGTCTGAAGGGGACATTTCATGGTACACTAACATCACAAGAAACTATTAGAAGCTATAACATCCGCTGATGCGCAACCTCCATCCCAGCTCTCTCTCCTTTGCATGCCTTGTCATTGAGAAGAGAGACCGGCTAGAATATTGAAATCAGAGTGAGATACTTCAATAGGCTTAATATACATAAATATATTTCGTTTGGCCTGTGTGAACCTTAGGAGAGGACTGAGCAGTCGAGCATTCTTTTCAGTTGTTGCCGACGGGATATCCGGGTTGAAATTGAGTCGAAATCCACTTCATTTATGTCTCATAATAAGGCCACATAATTTTTCCAATTACGTTCAGATCACACAGATAAGAGAGGTCTTGAATATACCTTACGCTACCCCTAAAATAAATGATTCCCACTCGAACACAATTCTGTTGTTATGACCACTCTCCTTTTTATTAAACCTACGGTTGCGGACGTTTGTTAGGGAATGGTTCTCTAAAAACACCTTATTTAGTCAGTTCAGTCGACTTTTGCCTGATGAGATGTCTCCGTTCTTGGAGAGACATATCTCATATTAAATCATTTTAACGAAAGCTCGGGAAATGTATCCTTACGGCATAGGCCTGGAAATACGTATATCTAAGTACTCGAGGCTCTTCAATCGAAGTAATTTAAACATTTCTGTTAAATTCAGAAGTAAAGGGTTTTAATAAGTCACCACAAAACACTTATTACTAATGCACTCAGAATTAAAAAGTGCCAACAGTACGATACAATAAATCAGACACGATGGAAATTATATTATCTCCACAAGTTATGGCTTTATCATTCAGAAAACATCCCTAGGATTTCGAATGTTGTCTTTTCTTACCATCAAATGCTTTCATTTTCAGTGAGATCTGTGAATTGATTAGTTAAGAAATATGTTTTTTTTCGAGAAACACCCAATAGGAGATGCTTATCTCACTGCTAAGTCACTGTTCTACTGAAAGACACAAACACAGGCTTTAAAAAAATCAGTCACAAAAACTTTTCCATTGTTAGACATGGCGACAGACCAAGGAGCGCTATCGTCCTTTGGGAAATGTTTGTCTATCTTTGTGACAAACTTCCCGTCCAGTCCGAAAATTTGCAGTCTTCTGTTATCGACATCGCAAACGATTAGATTATTAAACTTGTCGATTGCGAGTCCAACAGGGCCTTTTAACTGTCCGTCACCAGTCCCCTGACTGCCAATATTGTAAAGGAACTTTCCTTCCTTGCTGAACACCTTAATACAATTGGCGTTTGCATCAGAGACAAAGAATCTGTCCTGGTGATAAACAGCACAATACAAGGACTTGGCACGGTCTGAAGCACGAAAAGATTGTAGTAACTGCATCCCGTCAGGGGAGATTACCCTGATTTCATTGTTCTTCCAGTCACATGCGATTATGCAGCCATCAAATCCCACTGACAAGTGAGCTGGTATCTCTAGGTGTTCTTGGTTGATGTGTTTGATAAACTGACCACTTTCAGCGAACAAAGAAATCTTATGATCATCGCTAGGGACAACGGCAATGATATCACCAGACTTGGTAAAAGCTAATGTGGTACACACTTTCTTTACGTTTATCTCCCTCAGATAATTTCCATCAGAGCTAAACAATTGAATTCTTTTATTCTCAGAGTCTGCCACAGCAATGGTTCCAGTTTCTTCACTCACGGCAATATCAAAAGGTTGATTTAACTGTCCAGGTCCATTACCATGGGAACCAAATTTAAACACAAATCGATATTGATGTGGGACAACTTGAGCACTCCAGGGACTACCAGTCAGCGGCT